TATATATATAACAATGATAATATTAATAATAATAATAATAAGTTACCCTTAAATCTCATGTGAGTGTAATTATTTTATGCTGGACTAAACATATTTCAAATTAAAGGTCTGAGTCTCAATTACATCCCTAATAAATGTTTGAGTTTATCACATAGTTGTAGTGAGGCAAAAGATGTTTTTCATTTTCTTTTTACCATTTAACAATGCATTGTTTCATTTGAACAAATGTAACAAAGCCGTATCAAAATTTAAAGGGATCTGAATGAAACAATTTGTATAGTTTTTTATATATTCTCTTTTCGTAAGAGGCCCACAGGTTATAGAAGTAAATAAGTGGGTTTTTTATCTGATTAAGTCTAAAGAACGATTTCTTTAACGTTTTAAATAAAATTTTTTCAAATTTTAATTTTATATTATTATTTAATTTATAAAATTGCTATAATGGGAGCAGAACCTTTAGCAGCTAAGAGTTTTGTGTTTACTAACCCATTGTATAATCATGTAAAATGTTTAACTACATCTTATTATCCAACTTTTAATTTCTATGAAAAGTTCTACAAATGTGTAGACTACTGCTTAGATTTATAGTCTTAGATTGATAGCGAAAAAATGTATTAAAATTTTTACTTCATTTTTTAAAGAAATTGAAATTTTGATTAAAAATGTTTTTTGAATGCTCACGGAACTTTTTTGAGTCCTTAATGGGCTGAGCTTTAAGTGATTTCTAATCATACCTCACTATTACGACGTCTTTGTAATGTAGTTTAAGTAGGTAAAAAAAATTATACTTGAAAATGTTTTCTATTAAAGCCCTAAATGTATTTGAACTCAATATTTGATTGTCAAATAAAAATAGTCTAAAATAGATTTTAATCTAAAATAAGAAATTTGCAACAATGAAATGTTCATTTTAAATTAAAAATTACCTCTTGGTCATTTATCCACCATTTTAAAAACACAGCTGGTCTTGATGGAGAGGAAACACAAGTGACATTCACCGTTTCACCATTATAGTATTGATGTTTTACATTCTTTATTTCAGGAGGATGTTTTGGATTAACTAAGAAGAACATGCAAATTCTAAAATTAATGTTTAAATATTAGAATTTCCAAGGAGAAATCAGAAAAACATAAAAATTATAACTATTGAATTGACAAGAACGTAGTTTTGGATTTTTAGTGCGAAATAAAACTCAATTTTTTTTCTATATAAGAAATAAATTTCAGGCATTCAAAGATCTTTCATTCTGTTTGAATATCTTTTTTAATTTTTCCGGTTAGTTCATGATTCTGAGCTCATTGAACACCTGCTCCTTATTAGCTAAAAACTCCACCGAATGCGGTCATCGTCATTGCTGAAACTTTTACCGTTTAGGAAATTTTGCGAATTTTGAAATAAATAAAAATCCGATGGAGCAAGGTAGGGCTATATGAGGAATCACGCATTCTTAGCGGCATGTACGAAAATATTGGTACGGATTACCATTTATTTTGAAGTTTACTAAAGCTTTTTTAAATGATAAAAACTTTAGCAATATCGATGTCTTCAAACTGCACGTGGTTGAGTTTTTATCTGATAAGACGCAGAAGTTCTATGAGCATGGGATCAAAAAATTGGAAAAAGTCATCTAACAGAATGAAAGATGTTGTCTGTTTGAAGCTAATTTCTTTTTTTTGTATTGAAGAAATTGAGTATTATTTTACACTGAAAATCTGAAATTATTTTCTTGAGAACCCAATATTCTTCTGCATAGCAGACTTAATTTATGTTATGTAACAACTACATAGCTGGTTTTTTAGACGTACAAAAAGGAAAGGTTTCTAAAATGTATTTTCGGCAAAAGGAAAATAATTTTAAGTTTAATTAGTATAATATATGCAACTAACTTTCAACGATTTTCACAGGAAGATCATTTTTTAAATTGCAGTTTAAGTGCCAGGAAAAATTCGTAAATTTGTTTAGATTTAGAGTAATTTAGTTAATATTTTTTTCAAATTTAAAAACAGATTTTTACTTAATACTTTACTTTTATTTCTTTAAAAAATATTTTTATACAGAATACGAAGTCATTATTTAGAATGTTTAAGATCAGTTGGAAAAGTATAAAATAATAGAATTTTTAGGAGTTGCTTGGTTTTCTATAGAATGTCTAATTGCAACTTGGTAATGTATGAAATGTTTTTAAATATTTTTAGAAAACTTAATCTTGAAGAAAATCTTTAAGAGAGGATATACCGCTCTTAGCGACCGAGTAAACCTCTGCACCAAATGCGGTAAAGGAAACACGAAAAAATATCAAAACAAGAAATATTAACGAAGCAAATAAGTAGATCATAAACGTATTAATATAAGATTATTAATATAAGATAAATGACAGCTTACAGAATAAGATTTTGAGAAGGGTTAAAATTAAATCATATTGTTCGTAAAATAATTTTGCGAAGCACGCACGGAAAGATGATTAAAAAAAATTATTTTAAGATTATGAGGAGATATAAGATGTTGCGAAATTTTAAGATGCTTAAAAATAATGACTACGTATTCGCATTATTAATTATAAAATATTTATTGAAGAAATTGATAAATATATCATTCCAAATATATACATATTATTAAAATTGTCTCAATTATTGAAAACAAAGAAGCTAAGAAATGAAATATAATCACATTAAGTATAATCACAATCTGATGTATAATCACATTATATCAGAAACATACTTTTATAAAACTCGACATTCATATAATAAAACGCTTTTTATGCAATAAAATGTTTTATTCAAATCTCTTTATTAAAATACGAATGTATTTTTAGAAACTAAAGCACATACATCGTATTTCATAATTAAAAAAAAAGGATAATCGGTTATTAGCGAAAAAAAATATGAATGAAATTTTACACTACGTGCAGGTAAGTTAAGTTTCTCGTAAGTTATCTTCATTTAAATATTAATCACCCCATTTAAATATTTCTTCATTGCCGCCAATTTATTTTTTGAAAAATAATTAATTTTAATTTTTCTCGGCTTCCATTAAATAAAAACTGTTGAAACTTTCGATTTAGCAACAGAAAAGTACGTAGATTAATATGGAATAAAAAATGTATACCTCATAATTCAAAATTTGTTCATTCACAATTAAATTATATAATAAAAAACAATTATTAAAAATATTTCTTGCATGAAATTATCTTTGGGTTAACGGGTTTTATGAGTGTGTGAAATTCCTTTTTGAATTGCTTTATTAGTTTTGAAAATATGACTTAAAACGCAAAAAGTGAAATTAACATTAAGGGGTCCGAACTTCTTATCGCTCTCTTGATCAAACTATGGGGACCATATTTCCGAGATTGCGGCCAACCCTATATTTTGAAGGTTAGGAATCCAAATAGGGAAGAAAAAAATGTTTATTCAGAGAAAGTACGTTTTTATGTCCTATTTCGAAACTTAATTAATAGTTAGCCCTAAATAATTAACATATTTGAGGTCACCCCCAGGAACCATTAACATTGACAATCCCAAAAGTGGTCGTAAATAGAGGTGGTCGCTACACCGAGGTGAGCTTTCCAGGAGGTTTCACTGAAAATGGTACCTTTCAGATTATTTTATACATATTTTTTATTCAAATTTTTTATTAATATTATTTTACATATTCGAAAAAGGTATCAGAAATGTTATTTTACATGACGTAATACTAATAAATCTCTTTACTCTTAAATATAGGTACAAATAAATGCTAACTCGAGTTGTGATAAATAGATTTGGATGCAGTATCCAATAATAAGTAAAACATCATAATAAAAGGTAAAAATTATGGATTATAAAATGAAAAAAATTAAATTAAAGAATCAGAACAAAGGTATATACATATTTTATCTTACAAAAATAAATAAAAAAGGATGATGAAAAAGTCCCATGACCTTTTTTTTTATACTTTTCATAACGATACTGCTAATACTCCTCTTGAATTTTTCAGATTAGATAAATAAATAAAATTTCATGCTAGAATGTGACTAATAGCATATTCAATATATTTAAATTATGGAATGAAGAAAGTTGCTTGAATAAGTCATATCATACATATTTGCTAAAATGCAAAAGAACTCTTTACAAAGCATTTCTTCCGGATGTAAAAATCCTTATTTTTACTATTTAAAGTTTAAAAATACTTTCTTCAAAGAATTCTGCAGAATATAAATTCTAGAAGTTTTAATCTAAGATTTATATTTTATTAGAAATGCATCTACTATATGCCAATTCGAGAGAATATATTTTCATGCAATTTCAGGAAAATTATAGATAAAATATTCTAATAAAAGGAGAAAATTATGTATTATAAAGTAGCAAAATGAAATAAAAGAACCAGAGGAAAAACAAAACACATAATATCTATAACACAATGACAGAAAAAGTCAGTGAAATACATTCACGTAATTCTGCTTGCACTGATACTTATCTTACTGATACTGATATGGCTGATGCTTATCTTGACTTTTCCTAGTTAAATAAGTAAATAAAATTTGATTTCCCAAAATACGAATAAACTCTTTACAACGTGTATTAATTGCACGTAAAAAATATATGTTTATTCCATATCGTAAAATTTAAAAGTGTACTCCACAAAGAGTTATACAGAATATAAATTCTAAGAGTTGCTTCGAGATTTATAAAGTAGGAGTAGTATTTTCTTTATTCTACTATAAAAAGCGTTGAAAACTGTAATAAATTAAGATAAACTATTTAATTTCCTTAAAAGCTTTCTCGGGTTTATTTTCTCTTTCAATTTGGATGTTCGGATGAAAGAATACGACTTTATTCATCTGAGCTGATGGACCATTTTCAGTAATTTTTAAAATTATCAAGGCCAATTGTTACGTTTAATTAATTAGATTCATATAAAAAATGTATTGAAGAGGATGTTTGTATTTTGGTTTATCCAGTCATCCAAACATCCTCGATAACTCTTTGGGGAAAAGTAAACTTATTTCGGGTTTATTCTGAATAAGTTAAATTGAGTGAAGTAATTCTAACTGTGAAGACAAATAAGAATTAATGTTTTTTTTTTAAGTTTGCGGTGATAATTACTTAGCTTTAAAGCTTTGCAATCATATTAAAATCTTTTTTATTTTCATCAATACTTTTTTAGAAAAAAATAATAATTGCGTGTTCATTATAATATTTATATTCTGCATTAAAACCAATTTTAAGATTAACTTCAGCATTAATTTCACTCATTTTCTTGCAGCAGTAAAAGTAATGATTGCTAATGTCACATGTTGGAACGTGTCAAAAGTATTAGACATTTAGCTTTGTATATTGATTACAATTTGAAATGGAAAACCTCTATAAATACTCTTGCTCAGTTTTTACTTATTATTTTTTTTCTCATTTTAAGACAATAACTTTGAATTGTTAAATTGTTTAATTGTTAAATTTCATTGAATATGTTAGGTCATGGTAAAAAAACGCAAGACAAAAATTATTCTTTATGAAAATGTCTTTATCTCCCTAAATATTTAAGCTACAGTTACGAAATATTATGCAGGTTTTGCAAATAACAACGTAAGTAATCGATACTTCTTCAGTTAACTTATATTTGTTATTTGTATTTATTATTATTATGCATTTTATTGTAACCATGATATATTTTTTATGTGTACCTGACAACTTCGATGATTTATAAGTTTATTTCTGTTCCACATGACTTCATGTCTGTCTTTATGTTTAGTCTTTGTCTAATTTCATGACTTAAATTATTGTTAGCACTAATTAATTAGCACTTTGAGACATAATGATGTTTTATCTTTAAAGCTGAGTCCCAGTTACAATATGATAAAAATGATCAAGATGTTCACTTTTTAAATGCACTTCACACTGCACAAAATAAAATGTGGAACTCCCTAAAAACTTTTGATTTCATGATCAGATTTTCACGGACTATGATGCAATCTTAATGACCCGCAGCACTAAATTTTAATAAGATGCTTAAACATTAATTCGTACTTACCATAAACTTTCATTTCCCTCTCTCCTTTGACTGTTCGAAAGAAGGGTGCTTCTGTTGAAACTTCACATCTATATATTCCTTCAGAATTAATGTCAGTTCTACTCATGTAGATGTGCCCTTCAAAACTGTGATCTAACTGAAATAATATTTTATATATTACTAAAGAAAATTAAAAATTTTGTAGTACGTCAAAATATCATGTTCAGGAAGAAACTATTTATGATAGTGGAAAAACCAAGCAGTGAAGGAACATTACCCAGTGAAGGAACATTTCATATATATTGATTAAAAATAAGAATTTGAAAGTTTTTCTTTCGATTGATTGGTAACAATAGCTTACTGCCAAACAATAGGAAGTCATCTAGCAATGTTTTGGATTACCTGGTCAAATAGACTTCTCTGGAAAATTTTTTGAATTTGTCATTATCTCTGAAACACATTGTTTCTTTGAAGAAATTATAAGATGAGTGTTTGCTTGTATATGTTTGAAGTGGTATTAATTGCATGTAATAGTTTTATTTTTCTCACTGTGAAAAAGAGAATTCAAAATATAGTTATTGAAGTTACGTTTTATTTTTTTTAAAGCACCATAGCATAATCAAGTACTGAGATAAGGGGGTGTTTATTCACTGGATCACCAAACGATGAAAAACCAGTGAAGGAACAAGTGTTCCTTTACTGGGTTTTTTCTAAGTTAATGAAAATAAAAGATAAACTTTAATTTTCTTGTACCTTTAGTGATGTTCCGCATCAAAAGTATGTTAAAAATACGAAAAACAACTTCTAATCAGTGAGGGAACAGGCATGTTCCTTTACTGGGCATGGATTTCCCAGTGAATGAACAGTATGCTAATATGCTGACATTTTAATTTTCAATTCATAATTACAAAAAAAGTCAACCTTTTCCAAGTATTTATATGTTATAATTTCAAACATATGCTTGTTTTTAAATATTTGTATGGCTTATAAATTCATAAAGAGCATTAAAAAATAACCAAAATTAAGTGTTTCTTTACTGGGTGTTCATTCACTGGTAAGAGCTGTTCCTTCACTTGGTCTTCTTACTACTTGTTATTTGAACCTCCAAAACTTTAAAACAATATTATGTAATCTCTTTGCAATTTTTTTACGTAATTTGCATTTAGTAACAAATAGGTTGACACTGTCATTTAACTAAAATTACGAATTTTGAAATTAATATGATTTTTCCAAAGGCAAGCGAAGCTTAAGTGTTCCTTCACTGGTTAGCTTACCTTACACGGAATTGGTTTCTAACTTAAAAATTTTTCAACAATTATACATTTTTAAAATAAAATTTTAATTTATAAGCATCAATACGTTATTTCGGATTTAATTTCAGCTTTAAGCGCATATAGAAACTCCCTTCATATTGTTGACTCAAGTTATAATATTTTAATATAATATTAAAATTACGAGAAATTTTATAGTCTTAACTTGTTTTTTTTTTATGAATGACTCAGATGGAAATGTGATAATATAGTAACAGATATACTTTAACATTTCTTAGCATTATTAAATGGTTCACGATAGTAAAAATTAAATGAATTGAAAGTATATTGAAGATGAGTAACTTCTTTACTTTTGCTAGAAATTGATTTTCAATAAGAAAAGGTCATATGTAAAATTTACCATCGATATTACCGTGAATTCAATACAAGCGTCCCCAGTTTAAGACACGTTATATTTAAAGTTTGCTGAATTCTGTGAATTCGCACTGTGCTAACCGCTTCCTCCATGCATCTCTAAAATTACTCCCAGTTTACACGACTTCATTCTTTCATGCCAAGGAACTGAACTTTTTTATTGAAATGTTTTCGTTTTGTTTGATCATAAATGAGAAAAAATAGCTTAATTCAACAGTTAAAAATAATAAATATATTAATTAATTGCAGTTCTGTCCTTCTACATTTGAACAAAACAAAAAGTATACATTATATAATTTTAAGAGCATAAAAAAGTACACACATTTAAAGTTAGGCTATTAATCAGTACTTCATTCTAAAAATTTAATTTAAAGTATAATTTTCTAAAAATTATTTGCTTGCTACCTAAATCGTTACAAAAAAGCATTAAAGATATAATATGAAAAAAAGAGAGGCAAGTAATAAAAGTAAAAATTTTCGAACCTCTAAGTGAATCCCAGGTAATTCATATTTTTGTCCCGGAGGATTATCAGCTGGTAAATACCTATAAAATTCCACATTGTTTTTATGCCACTTTATGGAATAAAGTTTATCTCTTTCTAAATCATACGAACAGTTGAACCAAACGGGATCACCCAACATAACGACAGGAGGAACACTGAAATCTCGCAATTTGAGAGATGTGCAATCTGAAAGAAAAGTAATAAAAACCATTAAGGAAAGCAATTTATATGGATTTAATAATATTCATTTTAGATGTTATGAGAAATTTTATCTTAATATTTTGTCTGAGAAATCCGCATTGCACAGAAAGTCTGAAGTACTCCATATTGACGTCAACCTGTGCTACTTGGCCAATTTTTTTTTGTATTTTGGATGCCAAACAATAGTTAAAAAGATAGGGATTGAATGCTTTTTTGATCATCTTGGTTATTATTTAGAATTTAAAAAAAAATTAGTTAACAGTTTATCCATTTAGTTTTAAACTATCAGTGTGAAGCTTATATATTTGTCAGGTAATTGTAGATAAGCTAATGGAATAGCTTACCTCTTTTATTTTGTAGAAGTACTCAATTCGTGAACGCAGCGACCTATAGGGGGCGTTGTTACTTGAGACGATTCTTTACTGATTCAAATTATACTATTTCAAGTAATTCGGATGATTCTTTACTGATGTTTTTCGAATTATATAGATACAGAAATATATACTATTCTATAAAGAAGAAGAATATTCCATTACTTTTACAGTTCCGCACACTCTGAAATCACATTTATCCATAGGAATGAGGTAAGCAATGATGACTTTACTTCAATTTGTAATGCATTTAAGACAAAAAAAAATTATTTTACCTTAATACACACATCTGTAACAGCATGCGACTACGAAATCGGAAGTTATGTTGTTGAGGTAAATTCTTGGCCATAGATGGCGCCACTGGAAAACGAGAACAATCGCCCCCCCTCCGCCTAAAACAGGCATAAGTCAACAATGGAAAGGTAAAAACTATTGAGAAATTGTTCTTCAAATGTTGGGTGCGTTCTGTTTCAGAAAGATTGACCAATGTTCTGGGTCAGTTTTTCAAGTTTTTCAGCCCTTTCTTTAAAGAAATTTTGCTTTTTATTTGCTGCTAAAAAAATAACATCCTACTCTACCTATGATTCTGATAGAACTAAATGAAAACTTAATAAGTAAAAACCTGAAAATAGCCTATCGGCTAGAGGGTGTACTCGAGCATTGCACTTTTACCCATTTTGAATCTTCAAGTTTTTTTCCTCTATGCAAGCTATAAGCTAATCTTCCCATATTGAACTTCCTGTTTTACTCTTTAAATCCTTCCAGATTTTAATGTATAAAACGAGAAAACATGCGGAAATGTCCATTAGATATATTTCTAATAAGTTCTTTTTCTGAAAAATTACCTAAGTTTGTTTATGTTTAGAAAAAGGTGTGATTTTTTGATTACATAACATGAGATTAGATTAGATGATGATAAGATATCAGATTGCGTATGATATAGATGCAACGATAATTATTGGAAAATTTGAGTGCTACTTTTTGATGAAAAATAATAGATGTTGGGAAGTTATTTGAAAGTGGTTTTAAAATTTCTTGATTACCTTCTAAAACTGCATTTCCGTGTAAAGTTGATTTCTTCTGTGCTCAGTCTGATGACGCGAATACAGTTGAATAGAATGAAAATACCTTTGAAGTTCATTGCGAATTGATTTCCACATTTTTGTGTTTTTAAATTTGTGACTCCAGCACAACTGTAGTTGTATATAGTTACCACCGTTAAAAAGATATGATTTGAGAATTATCTGAATTTTAATGGATATTTTTTATGATTATGTTACCTCGTAATTTATATTTTGCTAACTTGCAAGTAAAATTTTAAAGGTTTTTTAATGTCTAATTTAATTACACTGTTAAGCAGCGCATTTCCTTTATTTCTACAGTTTTCAACAATTTTTTTTTATTGTTGGACACTTTCATTACTCTTCCCTGACCCATTTTTCCCATATCATTTTCCCTCATTATTACACTGTGCAATACCTATCAGACTGATAATTTATTGGAGAAAATATTTCGAAGCCTTTCCTTGTGAATAATGCAACACATTCGTGATGATGGGACTTGAAAATGTCTTATCTGGGATCCCAAGGACAAAGAGAATTCGCCCATTTTTCCTAAAAATAAATTTCGATACATAAGGAAATAATGAGACTCTGCCGCGTTCTAAACGAAGGGTTCCTTTAAAATGTGCATAAAACAGCATATAGAGCGTGCATAATTGTAATGTACTTTGAAAGGCTTTTAGCTCTAATTCAGTGATCATAGCTTTTTTTTAAAATCATAATTTCCAAATTAAGATGCTTTTGTGAAATTACAATGAGTGAAGTTATTTTTTTTTAATTCTTTATAAAAGATTTTTTTTCCACATGCAACAGCTACATGAACTAAGTATTTTTGCAATATAGATTCAAAAATGGTGAAAAAATTACTCAATATCTTCCAAATTGGAATATATTTCAGAACAAATTACGATATAAAGTACTTGCACTTTGGGTGTATTAGCCGTAAAATACTTCGGTTCAATCAATGACTTTACTGTAATTATTACTGACAAAATACGGTATATCAGGTTTGTTTTGTTCCGTAGCATGTTTCGGTAAAAAATAATTTTACGGTAAGAAGAAATTATCCCTTGAGTGCCAGTACTTTTACCATGATTTGAACCAAAGTTTTTACACTGCGTTTCAATTTTTCTTATCGTTTTAGCGTTATACAAACATATGTGTCTAATTTATTAAATATTAACTAATATTTTGCAACAGAGAATTACAATGGAGCAATGTAGAATCCAGGCAATTTAGTCCAACTAAATTCTGAAAAGAAGTATTTAACGCTAAAGTTTAATCCATGTATTTTTTTTTTAAATTTCAGTATTTCAGTTTAAAGTTTGGATTGAATCAGCAATTATACAATAGCTTCTATTAAAGAATAATAACCATAGTTTGAATGCCTGATGTTAAATCTCAATGTTGCAATTTATGCTATATTTTTAATGTTATACGTTAAAGTTAAAATGTTATATTTTTAAAGAAGAAAGTATTAATAAATACAGAACAAATTTTAAACGATCAAAGACTTAGTTACAATCCTTTTTTTAAACTTCTTTCAGAAATTTAAACAACAAGCATCGGACTATAAAACTGCTCTTTTCATGAAATATAAATACAGATTTTAATATTTAATGAATTACTTATTTACTTGTGCTGCTAACTCGACATATTGATAATATGCGCATATACAAATATTCTTGATACATTAGATTCTTATATATTTTGGTTAAAGGACATCGATAAATAAAGTTAGAATGAATAATTACAAGTACCATCGTCTTAGGAAAAAGGAAGAAAATAACATCATGTCAAAATTGTAAAAAAAAAAAAGTAACTTCGCTTTCGTTGGCCAAAGTTTTTGAGCAATCGATCTTCGTAGAACTTATGACAAGACCTCGGAAGATCACGTGACCAACAGCGGCTTCATTTACTCTTCTTGTTGAATTAATATTCAAAAGGTGGCGTTTCTCAAAAGTGTCAAAACTATTCTATTCAAACTGATAAAAAATTCATTCTTTGTAGAAAGAACAGCCAGCTACCAATAAACACCAAAAAGAGGGGTGTATAAAACGTGCATAATTGTGAAGGCAGGTTTCTAACTCTCTTTTCTCTCATATAGTAACAGGTGTGCCGGTTCCCATACGTTAGGGATTTAGAAAAGAAAACAAAGCTATCATTTTGGCTTTCTGTGTGATATATATTTGTATCGAGTGACCGATGAGGAAATTCAGTCATAACTTCATAGAATAGTATCATTTCATTTTTAGCGTGAGCTGCCATAATAATATATAAGTATATAAATATATTAGTTTAATGTTTTCGGTTGGGTTATGAAAGTAATAATAGTGAATATGCAATTTTTTCTTAAAAGTTAGATATTATATTTTATAGTTTATCAGAAACATATTTTGAAGTAGTTAAACTAAGACTTCACTGAATGGCGCTGTTTTAAATATTTATACATATATATTTTCAGTTGAATATAAAGAAATTTTTTGTTTTGTTTAATAGGCATCAACCATATAAAAAAATTATTGAAAAAGTTTTTTTTTTTAAATATAAAAACACGTATATAATGCACGGTCATAATATAACCGTGATATTATTATATTTTATAACCTCGATATATTATATCGTGTGGTATAACAATGATAGGCTATGTTTTTAAAGGGGAGTTTTTAATAATAATTGGTTTTTTAAAGAAATATGATCATCATTCTATCATAAATTTTGCAACTCATCTCGTATACTGTTTTCGGTATTTATTCATAGTAGGAAAAAACTACGAAAACCTGCACCAACAATTTTTTCCGAAAAAAAAAAACATATTATATTATTTTTCAGATTTATTTTTGCATACTTAAAAATGCTGTAAAATATGATAAAGTAAAGGGGAAGTAGGAAAAATACTGTAAAATAATTATATACTTATAAATATAAAAAAGAAAAAATATACGAAATCAAAAAAAAAAAAAAAAAATACTTTAGTTACGAAACGGATGGATCTCTCAGAACGAATTTTCATAATTTCGTTTCACAATAATTACAGCGTTGCCACAAAATAAATGTTCTTAAGAAACGAGAATTAATCAAGCTGAAAAAATCTTGTTTTTTTTTATTAAATTGAATCTTTTTATTAATGATGAACAGATATTATTATTGATTTATAAATTCGCATTATTTGATTAAAATTTGTATTATTGTTCATATCAAGTATTATTGCCTTTATAATAAAAATATTTAATGCGAGTACTTGTAAAGTATTTAAAAGCCTTATCCACAACAAAGTTCAAACTAGTTTCATTTGTCCTTAAATTGTTCCGAAATCAACAATAGTCTTTTCAACTAAAAGTGATTTCTTTTCATAAAATTTTTTTAAGTCTTTGAAAATGAAAAGATTTATTTTGGCTTCATTCGATCAAACTTAATATTTCCCCAATGACTTTATTGATTATTTTATAGAAACCTTTAGGTATATACTTTTTACTTAAAAAGTAGAGCTTTTACGAGGTTTTCAATCATCAGTACTAAAGTCGAAAAGGACAAACGGCATGAAAAATAAAAT